GTAGGGTCGAATCTCACGTTTCTCATTAAAAGATGGGACACTATCTTAAAAAGTGAACATTGATAAAAGGAGTAGTACAATCCCTTATGTGTTAGTTATTTATTTCATATTTAAAATAGGTTTAAAGTAAGGGACCTCGAATATGGAATATGCTTCATTGATGTTGGAGTTGTACTGATTGCTCACTTTTCCTAAGTAATGGAGAAGATGATCGAAACATGCCACAAAGGACTACTATTGTAAAGATTGGCTGCCAAGAACGTAGAGGAGGTGCGATGGACATTTGATCAGATTAAGTATGGATCATACATGGAGAGTAGCTGGAGTTGGCAGCTCTCTTGGGGTGTAGGGGTCCATCTAAGATCCCTAGTGCAAAGGATCAACTTCGCCCTTGCAAACAATTTGATACACTATCTCCCTTTGTGCATTTAAAAAGTGGAATTTATGTCGGCAAATGATAAGTTTTCCTTGAGCTGCTTGAAAAGTTCAGTCTCCTTAGCGCGTCACTTGAAACAATCATAATATAGAATATGAAGTTAAGTCTTGGAGAGTTCATAGTGCATTTTATGTTGATTGGAGATTCTTACATTACGTAAAGGGAATTGTCGACCTGGTTAAGGAATCCTTCTTTTTGCATATAGTTCTTTTCACTTGGCTATGATTTAGTGACTTAACAACATTCCCGTTCTCAACATCCTTCCACATGGCATTTTTGCTGATTGGAAATTCTTCAATCTCTATGATGGAGTATTGTGAAGTTAGATGAGTACTTTATTTACTTGAAGATTTGGCATTGCGTTCAGCAGCCAATCTCACATTAAATAATAGGGGGCTCATTCGCTTTTATCCTATCTAGAAAAAGATTTAAAGGTCGATAAGAAGTTTTTAAGGTATTGACTTGAGTTCAAGAACAAACTATACATGTAGAAATATTCCGTCATCTAGTTTTTAAAAAGTACATAAAGGAATTATTTCTACTGAGTTTGTTCATTCTCATAATCAGCTAGCAAGCAGATGATGGTACCAAAGCCCTTTTTGGGGACATCTTCCATCGTTTACTTTCCAGAAAAGGAGTTCAAGATCTATTTACATGCCATCTGAAAGAGGTGATGTTGGAAATATTATAGATTCAAGATCATAAGCAGACAGAATCAAAGGTCACTACAATCATTGTTTAGTTTAATTTCCTTTAATTGAGGTTTTTATAGCTAATAGATAATTGCGTATATAGTTTTCCTTAAATAGGATCGAGTTTATAGAGATTGCACTGAAATAAGCAAGTTTTTCAAGCAAACACATAAGTGAGCATTGATTGCTCTATATATACTTCATGTCATGATAGAATAAAAAAGAATTATCACTTTTTCCACCATCTTGGATGTGCGGAGCACCAGATGTAGACTTTGTGATTGAAAAACCAAAAAAGTCGTGAGGGGTAAGAGGGCATATACCCTCTCAAAGCAGACAGTACATAAGTTAACGGTTTGGGCACAAAAGTCGGTTTGTTACAACTTATTTTGTGGTATTTCAGTACTTCTGGAACAACTCCGCAAGTAGTGCATCTAGCTCCAGATCCCACATCACCACACATAAATTCACGTCTGCAAACACATTAAGCATTGAGAGAGCCTTTAAATAGCCATCACCAGCCATGCATGACAACTTTCCAAATGCCATCACAGCCGACTGAGAATATTTCTGTACAACAATTGAATGCAAAATATATCAATTGTGCATCGACAATTTCATGTGATTACTAGGAAAAAATGGCAGATATCGATAAATATTAAGTACCTTCATGTTATCATCCTTTAAAGGCTCATTAGGGGCTGATATTCATTATCCCAGTGAAGCACGATGTCACAGAAATCTTGAAGGCTCTTTCAATGCTTGAGGTGTTTGCAGACTTGAGTTTATGGGTGGTGATGTGGGATCTAGAGTTAGATGCACTACTTGTAGAGTTGTTCCAGAAGTTCTTAATTACCACAAAGTTGTAACGACCCGACCTTTGTGTGCAAAATCCGTTAACTTATGTATTGTCTGCTTTGGGAGAGCCAGCCCATCTTACGAACTGAACTGTTATTCTCATTATCTCAGTGAGGCACTATGTCATTCTATCTGTACAACAATTGAATTCAAAATATATCAATTGAGCATCAACGATTTCATGTGATTTCTAAGAAGAAATGGCAGATATTGATAGATGTTAAGTACCTTCATGTTATCATCTTTTAAAGGCTCATTAAGGGCTGTTATTCTCATTATCTCAGTAAGGCGCGATGTCATGGAAATCTTGACATCCATTTCTCCTTGTCCCAGAAGTCTCACCAGTGCCTTCTTGGCTAAAGGCAGCACCTTTTTCATTTCGTCTCTCTTTCTTTTGTCTTACTTTCGACAATAGATCCTCTAATTTCTATTTGCCCAACAAAAACCAGAAAATTCATTTATGTTAAGCCGGACATAAACATTACCTAAAAAATTGTAGAATTGTGGAGATCAAATACGATGAAAGTAAACAAACATGAAAAAGAATCTAAAGGGGAAGACAATTGACGACAAAAATCATTAACAATCAGGTTTTCTTTGCATTACTAAAACCTGATTTTAGATCTAAATAATTATCACATGAGTAGGTTCCAGATTAATTATGAATTCATCATTGTAATGAAAAGTTTTTCTGGCNNNCATTGTAATGAAAAGTTTTTCTGGCTTTCCTCTATTGTCCACGTTCAATAAAAATTCTTCAATACTGCCCCATGAATGAACCGAAAGTGATTGACAGAATTACGATTACATAAAACACTCCTCTGCCTCCGATGCTTCAATTTTATTAAAAGATTTTAACCTAATCCGTCTAGCAGTGGTCGAGACAGATTTTAACCTGCACTGATGTTGAGGGTTGTAAGGAAATTTACAGTGTTTAGTGAAGGCTGCTGTTACCCCACTTCTCCTAAGTTTGCATCAAATCGACAAAACAACACAATGAAAATGGCCCTTTCAGAATTTCTAGCCATCAACGAAACAAACCTAATTCTAGCTTCTTTTCTCCATCAGTGATTACATGGCCAAATTTATACTTCAATGTAGCCATATCCCTAAAAAATTTCCTATGTTCTGAACTTCTACATCGTCATAACTCCAGTTGAGGCTACCACTTCTAAACCAACGAGTATTCAGACTAAAGGAACCACTTAATGAATGAGAAATTTTGGACATCATCAACCTACAAAGAGTTCAATTATCAAACGAAACTTCAAATTCTAATCCTTTGAAATTAAACAACGTTAGCTGAATCATCCATAATCTGAAATCAAGAACATATGGATCTCAAATAACAAAAAGACAATCCACAAAGAGTGGTCAAAATGGTCATTTGCCCATGTTCTAATTATTCTGTGTCCGATGGGATAACACATATGGATAACAAATCAAGACAATATAAATTACAAAAAATTAATTTATATTGCTTTAGTGATTTTTATAAGTTCAGTTTCCCACCGTTAGTGAAGAGATGAAAATTAATAATTATACTGAATAGTCTCAAATTGACTTGAGTGGTATAATTATTGCAACATAAATTATATAACTCAGATTAGGTCTTACTAAGTGTAGTTTATGCTTTGGAAGAATATCGAAGAAGATTTGACGATTGATAGTGTAAAGATTGTAAATCAATATTCAAGATTCAAAGAACATAATCGAAGCAGTTGTCTAAATAAAAATTCAAGATTCAAGTTTGGTCACGCTTCAAAGTAATTTCCAATTCTTTGTGTGAGTGATTATTAAGCCCCAGTTTGTATCCCATTTTTTGGGGAAAATATAATTTAGAATAGTGTTTTTGAAAAATATGAAAAAAAAATTTAAGTTTATATGTAAAATTATTTTGTGTGGGAATGTGTGGTTAAAAATAAGTTGAAAAAATGAGGCTCAAACATGGGTTAATGTGACGTAAATCCAATTATTCAGTAAAGATCTTGGGTCAAATTTTTATAGAAGTAAAATTTTATTTTCTTATTTTACTAATCTTTTCCAACACTTTGGTACATAACATATTATTTGAAGGGCATAATGTGGAACTCAAACAAGAGAAAATAAAAGAATTATCAATAAAGTCTTTTGCTCGTTGAAGCACTATTCCCCTACCCTTAATGGCTAATGCATGTTCCAGCCTTGCACCTTCCCTTTCACCTGCACTCGTAATTTCCATGTCATTCCCTTCTAGGGACACAAAACCCTACAAAAATTAAGGGGAATTAGCATAAATGGTTCCTATCGTTTACATTCATTGCTAA